GGGAGGGGAGGGGAGGGAGGGAGGGAGGGAGGGAGGGAGGGGGGACAAGCCATCCAGCACCGCTTTAAACACCAGTCTGGTTCGTGGGTCCTTGGCCCTTTCGGCACGAACCACTTGCCTTGTAGATAGCTTCTATTTCCGCACAGCCTCCTTAAGGATGCACGAGCCCTGCTCTGATGGCAAACGAAAGGCCTCTGCAGGACGCGAAGATGATCGTGTTTCCTCCACTCCCGAACCGAGCCCCCGATGTCGTGAGCAATTCCGGAAAGTTTCCAGCTGACGGCACTGAGACTCTCTGCACGCAGATCGAAACACGGGCAGCTGCAACAATGGCAGGTAGAGCGTTCCAAATATGGGGGTTTCCGAAAATAAGGGACCCTAATATAGTGCCCTAAATAGTAGGATCCTTATTATAAAGACCCCAAAATAAGGTACCCCTTCTTTTCGGAAACTCCCATATCGGTCCAAGGACAATACGGATCAAGTCCGTAAAGGTTTTCTACTGCACGGGGACTGTTCAGAACAAACACTCGCGAGCCGATACAGCTGGAGCCAAAAGGGTTTCACCCTTCTGAAGACTAAAACCCCTGAACCTCTTCTAGCACCCTTAAACTTCCAAAAAAGTCTTGTAGCCGTTTGGGGAGGGAGTGTCCGGGTGTGCTTCTGCAGGATTTGGGGTCTGGGACCTTGACGAGAAGTTGGTACAGCAGGGAAAAAACCTAAACCGCCGAAGTCGCCCAGCACACAGAGACCCCTCTGAAACCTCATTGCTGCATTGGTTGACACGTGGAAGCCGTGGAAGCCGTGGAGACCTATGTCTCCCGCATCCGCTGAGACGCATACACTTCGTCCTCGCAACCCGGCCGCACATCGGTCGAAGGACCCTGGGCCATGGCAAAGGGAAACTCGAGACAGGGCCTCTGTGGCGCCCAGGTAAGTGCAGGATGAGGTAAGTGATCTGTAAATGCATTGGTAGAGTTCCGGAGCCAGTTGAGTCCTGGGATGTCAGTGCCTTGCCTGGTTTAGATGCTGTTCGGGCTTTCGTCGTTAAAGCTGTTCTGCCACTATTGTGGGGTAAAGGATTTTTTTTGCAGTGGCCGCGCGGGCCGCCGGCCGCGGGCCGCGGGCCGCGCGTAAATAATACTATTGTGGCGCCGCGGGCCGCGGGCCGCGGGCCGCCGGCCGCAGGCCGCGGGCCGCGCATAAACAATACTATTGTGACTCGTAGGGCTTCTTGGCCTGTCTCGTCTGGTGGCAACACCCTGGGTCATGCTCGGGCCATGCGCAATAGCATGGGTTGCGTCGAGCACGAGTTGCTACAGCAGCCCTCGGCGGCTCCGAACTTTTGCAGGTCCGATCTGCAACTTCCGAAACAGGAAACAGGAAGCTCGAACTCACAATCCCTGGAGCTGGACCTGTTCGATGCCGGGAAGCCGGCGCATGCATCGTCGAAAAGAGATCGCGGGTGTAATCGGTGCACGACTAGACTATAGAGAACGCACGCCATGGGCAACTAAACCCCAAAAATGCATGCGGTTGTTGTTAAAAGGTTCAATGCTTGGAAATTTTGCATATTCTCCGGTCACGCTAAACCGTCTGTGCAATTTATATAAACAGTGAAACCAACATCACTCCGGCAGAAAACTATGTTGCACAGAAAAGCCATGTAGAAACCCGAACCTAAAACTTGCCCTATGCTCCAAACACAACTCAACTGATCTGAACAGAAACGCAAGCAGGAGTCCATACCAGGGCCCACGCGAGGGCCCCTCTCTTGTGCGGGGTGTTCACACCAAACCTCTGCTCTCAAGCCGAGACGAGGCTGGGTTCTACAAGGGCTCCATCGCTGAGCTACCATTGCAAGGTCAGACAGAAGAGACAGTAGAAAGACTCGAAGACATCTGCCTTTGAGGCATCGTACTGGAACACTTGACGCCCTCGACTGTGAAGAAACAGTCCTTACTTCTGCCAACGTCAACGTAGGAGTCAGGGTGTAGTTGTTTATTGGACTTCGAATGGCGCGAAAAGGGTATTACAGAGTTTGCAGGGCTCTGGGGTTCATTCAAACGGCCAACACAGGGTTTCCTCACAACAGGCTGCCCGGGTTCGGTAATGTCTTCCATGGCAGGGGCTCGAATCAACTAGGCGTACATGATAGTGACACGCAGTAACCGTACACTTCTACAGCGACTATATGGGATCAGGACTGAGTACTAATGATTCAGACTCTTCGAAGCTCGATGTGCCGTCGTAGGCTGAGCTCGCCGCATGTCGGCCTGGACACAAGGCGTTGCTAAAAGGATGCTGGTTTCCGGCCGAGGGAGTCGGGTCTCGGCGTTCTGATGCTGCTTTGGGTACTGTTTGGTTGCATCTTAGAAGATTGCAAGTACATTACTCCGCTACATGCAGCATCAGCTGAGCACGTCCAGAAGGAGACTGCCTGCACGCTCACAGTCATGCCGGCCCAAACTGTGAAAGGGCCGGAGTGAAGTACGCCCCTGTAGACAGTTCGCAGCGACGAGCCCTTCCAGTCCGTCATCATGATCGCAGTGGCCTGCCTTCGCCGGATGAGCAGCAGCTGCAATCCAGAAGGCCAAGCATCTACACGGCAAGTGGCAAACCGAGCTGAACCCACCTACAGCCACAATGGGGGCACAAACTGTCTGCTGTAAGGTTGGGCTTCGAAGCATGGCGAAAGGGACGCCCCTGCGGTTAATAAATGTGATGCAGGGAGTGGCTCGGCGCTTAAACTAAAACTTGCTTTGGCACGTGTTGCCCGAAAGCATCTACGGATAAACGCCGGCATTTAAGCTGGCGCTGTGTATTGCAAGGCTCGTAGATGCATTCAAGTCTTGAAGACAGCTGCAGGCAAGGCATGCGATGTTGGTGACCGACGGGACACGTCCTATACCTCTTCAAGAATGCCGACGGCGAAGTACCCCTGCTGGTAGTCAAGAAGTAGCAACAGGAGGGCAGAGTACTCTTCGTAAGAAGAACACCAGTTGCAGTAGTAGTTTTACAATCGGTCATGATTCGTTCTCGCAGGTTCAAGCTGGAGTGTTGGATGCCTTGGGATGCGACACTTTGGGGTAAATATTGAAGCTACTCTTCCTGGCGTCCACGGGATATCTTGGAATATTGCAGTCGTTTTTGCATCCCGGCAATCTACGGACCCAAACTGACTTCCTTCCCGAGCACGCTGACTACTCCGTACACTGCGTCAGCGCGCGCAATCTCTGTGCCAAAGCCTGAAGGTGACTCTTAGCATATCTTAGCCACTGAGTGCCGGATTCAGGGGTTTAAGGAAGGCGTGTTTTGGCTCCCCCGGCTCTTTGCCGTCTTGGCCCCGCTGCCGCTGCTGCTTTTGAGCGCGAGCGAAGTGAGACGGACCCTCTGCAAGCGCGAGGGTCTGGGCAGGGTCGCTCGAAATTCGGTCCGAAGACCCAAAACCCGAAAGTCCTGTTCTTCTGGGTGCCCTGAGCTAGAACAACCCTCAACTGGTCGGAGAGACGCAAACACTTTTCGGAAGTCTGAAGCTTAAGGGCTCGCAAACTCTCGAGCTGCAGGAACTATAGGTGTTTGGGTCGTTTCAGGAAGTCAGTCTTTTGCATCTCTCCGCTGAGTTCACATTCATGGAATCCAAGATTTTTCGGAAGCTGTTCTCTTTACACCAGATAGCCGCTGGGTCCAGTGGCAAGATCATCCTGCTCCGCATGTCGCTCGTGAACCTGGGTCTGCTAGGAAGCGCGTAGGGCTCTTGGGTTTGGGCGCAGTCCAGGCGAGGTGTCGCAGGTCGGATGAGGTGAAAGCTGATACCATGTACGAAGATCGCCTGTAGGCTCTAGCTTACAAATTCAGTGCTTTTCCTCTCCTAGATTCCAAGAGCTGCATGGTTCGCCTTTGGGCTGTTTGTCCTATAGAGCCGAGGATATCGTGCAGCACACTGATGAACTGACACCAAGCTCTCCTGGGCGCTGAGAGACATTCTGGTCCGTCAAGTCCAAGTGGCTTCATGAAGAGGCCAGGGTCATCGCGCAGTTGAACCATGAAAGCGGGATCCACGCTTTCGAACAGCTTCACGCGCGTGTCGGTCATATTCGCCTAACGGTCACGGACACAACTCTTGAACTTGTGACTTGCTCCAGAGTCGCAGTTTACTTTCTAGTACTCTTTCTGGCTTGCTGATTTGCTCCTGCTGCAGCTACGTGCCAGCGGCCCCTCGGCCGCGACCAGCTCAATTACGAGTATGCTTTGTGTCATCGGTCTAGATTCTAGATCATCTGGGAAACAGCAACACCAACCAGGTCGACGTTTTCAGGGGCAGCGTGTGATCGGAAATACGCAAGTCACCATCCAGGTGAAGCCAAGGTGTCCACAGGGATTTCGGATCTGCACACGTGGGCCTCGGCTCAGAAGGCAGTCAGCCAAGCGAAACACGCTAGCAAGCCTTGCCAAGGAGTCCCTGACAGCAAGGCTGCCGGCTGGCTCCAATTAACCTAGAAATGCTATAAGCCCTCAGGTTCAGAGTTTGCTCCGTCCTTCCACTTTCAAAAGCCTCCTTAGAGCGAGCCTCTTCACCCTCTGAAGCAACCTGCACACACCACACCCAGGCCAACATCCTCGCTTCGGGTCTCAGAGGCTGTGCCACCAAGTCCACAGGGTCAAGTCCTCGAAGATGGTCCTGAAGCAAGCGCTTCTTCGGGAATATGAAACCGAAACCCTCAGGAAGAGCATGGGTAACTATTACCATACAGTACTGAGGTTTGCGTGGGGATGGGAAAGCTCACAAGCCTGTGGCGGCGGAAGCCTTTTGGGAACTGGAATAAAGAACAGCTGGTGATTTCGAACAGCGACCGACCGAAGATCCAGCGCTTCGGCTTCCACCCTTTCTTCGGGCTTGGCCGAATGGGCTCAGGGTTGCAGATTTTTGCAGGAAAATGTTGGTATGCCGGTATGCCTCAAGGTCAAGTTGCAACAAACAATCGAGGTCAAGTTGCAGTCGCAGGTCCATTTCTTTGCTTGCTTCCCACAGGCATAAGTCACCCCCTGGTCGAGCGTTGAAGGGGCACCTCCATATGAGGCTCCTCCTTCAAGGAACCCCTAGCAAAGAAGCTACGAAAGTCTGGTGATATGCAGCAGCAAATGCCCAGAATCGGAAAAGCCGAAGTTAGAGCAGCACTGACGGGTCACGAGCCTGAACATGCAGGCATCTGTAGACAGGTACGCCCGGATCCCCAGTCTTGGCATGATCTCCAGCTGCTGTGGGCTGAACAACCTTTGCTCCACAGCACAACATCTCCGAGGATTCGGCTTCTGGATTAAAGGCTCACGCAGTCCTGTGGTTGGTCTGTGTCCAAACTTGCTTCATGCCTTTCGAAACTCGTCAGCTCTACGCACTTGCTGATTCTTCAGCCGCAGAATCCGGACTCACATGACCTTTGGCGCCAGAGGCCCTTCGACTACGACGTTCACCCACCCTCATCGCAAAAGCTGGGACTCATCTGGCCAGGGAAGACTGCCTAGTCACTAGTCGCTTTTCAAGAACCCCCCGAACACCCAGGACCTGTTCACTTAAGACTTAAGGACCCCTTCTCTGTCGATGCCAAAAAGGCCCGGAGAGGCTGAAATCCTTGCGATTCACCTCAGGATTGGGGCCAGACTTGGCTGGCTGAAGGCCAAAGGGGGGGGAGGGGTCGTTAGGCTTCAGGGCTCAACGCGACGGGGTGGTGAAGGCTTTGTTATGTGAGTGTTGGGCAGAGAGAGGCCCCAGGCTAGAATCCTAATATATTGGGGTTATAGGGCCAATCTTGGGTTTAGGGTTCCTTATGTGAATCCTAACCTATTGGGGTTATAGGGCCAGGCTTTCTTAGCCAGGTTCCTACATTAGGTTTCGGATTTTCAGTGTTCTTTTGGCTACCGTCGGAATCCTCAGGGCTGGGCTCAAAAGAGAGTCTTCATAAAACGTGCGATGTCGCAGTGTTCCTGGGCCAAACTGCACCACAGAAGGGCGGTCAAACTTTTCAGCATCACAAAACACAAACAAACTCCCACCGAGATTCACATCAGCGCTGTCACAAGAAACTCCAACACGATTCATTCAACGTCGCAGCGTCCCGAACCACAAACAAACTCCCATTGAACACACCGCAACACGAAAGGGGTCAAACCCCCCAACGTGCCATAAACAAACTTCCACCGAGAGTCCAAAAACAGATGGGCCCGGCGCAACTGCGACACCAAAACAGTGAAATTTTAAGAGATTCAACACACATGGGCGCTGTCGCGGTGTTCCGCGATAGCAAACAGGATGAAACACTGCAGCGTCCAGCAGCACTGTCGCGGTGGTCGCGGCCCAAATGGTGTTCGTTCATCGTCCCAAAATGGCCCAAACCACAAAAATGCTCCCGGAGAGATCCAAAACACGTTGGCGCTGTCGTGTGTAACATCGTGCTGTCCCCCGCCCAAGCTGCAACGCGAATGGTGTCAAACCTGCCAGCGTCCCAAACCAAAACTCACTCCTGCCGAGATTCAAAGCACATGGGCGCTGTCGCGGTGTGCCCGGCGAAAGGGGTCGAACTTTTCAGCGTGCCAAACACAAAAAAACTCCCACCGATGTTCACAACACATAGGTTCCCAGCCCAAGCTGCAACGCGAACGAGTCAGCACTGATCCTGCTTGCAGCGTGTCGTTTCTTGGCGCTTTCTGCCGCTGTGCTATTTGCAGAGTATCTTCTGGTGTTCTCGGCCACTATCCTGGTTGCGGCATTTCCTTTCTTGGTGTTGTTTGCCCGTTTTGCCGCCAGTTATCACGTTTCTTAGTGTTGTATGCCCCTCTCCTATTTGCGTTTCATGGCGCTCTCTGCCCATTGTTTGCTCCGATCCTGTTTGCATGTCGTTTCTGGGTGCTCTCAGCTCCTATCCTGCTAGGAGCGTGTCGTTTCTTGTTGCTTTCTGCCCCCATCACGTGTGGAATGAGTCGTTTCCTGGTGCTCTCTGCGCGTATCCTGTTTGCAAGGGCCCAAGCTGCAACACGAAAGGGGTCAAAGATTTGTGTCCCACACCATACACCAGCTCCTATACAAGAGCAAACTTTTCAGCATCCCAAACCACCAACAAACTCCTCCCAGGTAGGGGCTGACGACGCTGTTCCCACTGCAACCCTACTTGGTCAAACCTTTAAGCGTCCCAAACCAGAAACGAACTCCCATGCGATACGAAAGGGGTCAGGCAGGTGAGCGTGCCAAACTACAACCGACTCCCGCCGAGATAAATGGGCGCGGTCCCTGTGTTCCCAGCCCAAGCTGCAACACTCAAGGGGTCAACGATTTCAGCGTCCTAACCACGAACAAATGCCCACCGAGATTCAAAACACACAGGCACTGTCGGGGTGTTGCCGCTGTCGGGATGTGGCCAGCCCAAGCGTCAAGCTTTGTTTGCGTCCCGAACCACAACATACCACAACTAAACTCCCACCGAGATCGAGAACTTACGAACGCTGTCGTGGTGCCCCTGGCCCATTTGCAACACGAAAGCAAGTTTTTTCAATGTCCAAACGACTAACTGACTACCACACTCCCAACGAGATCGAAAACAAGCGGGTGCTGTCGGGATTCTTTATCGGCCCACCCTGCAACACGAAAGGGGGCAGACTTCTCGCCCCAAACAGCTACTGGTAACAATAAACAACTCCCTCCGAGATCGAAAATTAACGGCCCCTGTTGCGATGTTCAGTATCCCCAACGTATGGAGGCCCCTGGCACAGGAACTGCAAATCTATACCTGCGCTCCATTGGAGCTGTTGGCAGATTACGCTTGTCTTTGAACCGACTTGGCCCTCACTGAGGCTACCGTAGCAGCATGTAGCAGGACTGAATGTGGCCGAGGACTCATGTGAGGATGTTACATATCACCAGTGCAAACTCCAAACCTTAACTACCGACGGCTCTACAGCCCAGGGCTCACAGATCCTGGAAGGCTTCAGCCCCATCAGGGCTGCTTTGCAGTCCGCGTCGCCCCGTCCATGAACTGCCACACACACTGCTGCAGCCGATGGATGAAAAGGTCTCCAGAAGGAGCTGCCAAGAACCAGTTCTGAGGATGATCGATCCAGCTCACACGAGTGTCCTTGGGCCGGGGACTCATCTCCCACCGCTTATCTACTCCATATCGAGAGGCTCGCAAGGCCGCAGCTGAATGCAAGGATACTGCTGGCCTAAAGTTGGAACTTTCATGTCCTTCGCCGGTTATGCGGCAGGAAATCTCAGGGACAGAACGAACACGCCCAAGATTACTGCTGGTGCGGCTTGGAGTCATTGTCCTTCAGCGACTGATCCGTCCAGGGATATGGCAGCGCGAAGAAGGTGCGCACGTTCGGGTTGTCGCCCAGCAGCTCTTGCAACGGATTCGTCATGAAGGTGGTCGCATCAACCCAAATGCCGCCATACTTCTTGAGAACCGCTAGACCTTATCAGCACGAAACAGATCTGCAGCTGAACACCCCAACTCCCAACAAGAAACCTCCTTTTTTTCTGACGTCCTTGACCACCCCGTCATGCTACCGAAGCACGAATTGCATCGGACCGGTGCTGGATGCTCAGAAATCGGAAGGTCCTCGGCAGCTCGTGCTCCGTGAGATACCTGAGCTGAGCGGGTGCTCCACTATGGAATCGGTCAATGCAGGCTTTGCAGAAATCCCAGTCAGGCATCAATATGAAGCGAGGTCCTACACAAGAAGGACACCCTCACGGCAAAACCTGATTTCTAGCCGCCTCCTATCGCCGCAAACCTCAAACTCTGAGGTCGCAAGCATTGCAAGCTCCAGTTGCTCGCTCACCGAGTCGCTGTTGAGGAGCCTGGGATTGGAAGGTTCAGGGTTCGGGTTTTTGGGGGGTTTCAGGTTGGGAGTTTCGGGAAACAAGGGGTACCTTATTTTGGGGGTCCTTATAATAAGGATCCTACTATTTAGGGTGCTATATTAGGGTCCCCTATTTTTGCAAATCCCCAGGTGGCTTCGGCTCTATGGAGTGGGGACTTGGTTGGGTCTCTTTGCGGCGTATCACTTCGGCTCTTGCACCTCGGTACCTGCGGCTTTCTACACGCTCATCTCTCCTGCGGCTGCTACAAGTACCCTCCAAGCTCCGATAAGCTGTACGGAGTATGGGGTTTAGGGGTTTAGGGTTTAGGGTTTCTTTGCCTCCTACTTAGCAAGGAAGAAGCCCGCATTGCAGGGTATGTTGACGTCTGAGAGAATGCACATCAAGCCTGTGTTTCAGCCTGATAGGGTTTAGGGTTTAGGGTTTAGGGTTATGGCACTTCGAAAAGCTCAGAACTCCGGGACCTGGCCCCTTCGTCATCATCCCGAAAGCGAAAGTCGTGAACAAAAAAGTCGTGAGCCTGCCATGCTGTGGCTGAGCTTCAAATTCCCGGGGCTCAAGAGGAATCCTTTGCAGGCCTTCCAATGTGGGGGTTTCCGAAAATAGGGGACCCTAATATAGTACCCTAAATAGTAGGATCCTTATTATAAGGACCCCCAAAATAAGGTACCCCTAATTTTCGGAAACTCCCATGTCCCTCTGGAGAGGTGCTCTTTGATTCTTCGGGGTCTCCTTCCAGTCAGGGAGCCGAATCTGGTGGTGGGGGTTCAGCGCCCGCCAGGATGCCAGGCAGGCCTTCGGATGGGACTTCTTTAAGCCCTCTTATGGGTAGTTCTCTAAATCAGGGTCCCCTTTTAGGTCCCCCCCAAAAAAAGTACGGCACCCTTATAAAGAGGACCCCAAAAGAGGACCCGAATTTAGAGAACTACCCTCTTGGGGCACTTGCTTCGGGCTTAGAGAGTCTTACAGCTCAAATCCTTCATGCCATCTGCCGATGTTTGCTATCCGCCCTGGCCTCCACGAACTCCGTGAGCGCTACGGGAGAATCGGGCAAAGCTTGCCAGAAGCTCCTCGCAGCCAGATTTCGTCACACCTCTTTTCCGGAGTGTCGCCTTCTGTTCCACGGCCCCTTTCTTTCCCATTTCGGGTGCTTTTTTTTTGCCTCCCGCCTAGCTAGGACGAAGCCCGCAATAAGGCGAAGGCTTGGGTTGGCTGGTTTAGGATTTAAGGGGGTTAGCGCTTGTGGCGCCAAAGGGATCTCCTGCGCAAGATCCTAGTGACTAGTGTTTCAAGGTTCACGACCCTTCAGTTCCCATGTTGCTGACGTCGCGATGCATCTCAGGACTGTCGGCCTGAAGAATTTGTAATAATGTCCCCTTTGGGTCCCTACATGCCTGTATTGTACGATGTGCAAAAGCCCCATTCCGATTGGTATTCAGGCCCCTCATGACGGCGAGGTCCAGATGATCTGCGGGATCGGCAGCTGCTGGCCAGTATAGGCACCCCTTAGCTCGACGAGCCATACTTCTGCTTGTGTAGTGGGCTTTCAGGAACACCCGCACGGGAGCCTGTTCCAGACAGCCTCTTCCTAAAGAATTCGGCGCCCTCTCTTTCAGCATCGCCTATGCAAACTGAGGCTCTTTCCTCGGATCAGCCATACATCCCGGCAGCTCCCTTTCAAAAAATACATCCTGCTGGCTCTGTCACTTCATGCCTTGAGAGGGTTTGGTGGGGCTGTGTCCTAGCAACAGCCGCTCCCAAGAAACGTCTGACAAGTGGCTGCGTTTGCCGGAGCACTGGATGACGCCAAAAACACCTGAGCATCACGCACTGACTCGCAAATGAGACGGACCGGACGGATCTACTGTTGGATCAGCCCGAAACCCTGGCTCTAACCCGAACTGTATGGGAGCGAAACTGCCGTCTTGATTTCCTGGGCGAAGGGTGTTGCTCTGGTCTGTGGTATTCCTAGGGACGTGCTGTTGTTCGGGTTCAACTGAAACCATGGCAGCCAGTGACAGCATCGGCGACAGCTGGTAGCTGTTACAGGTATGGTTGCACCCACCATGGCTGTAAGCCTGTTTGCGCTTCCAGCTGTCGCCGTACGAAGTTGGCAATAAGCTCGGGCTCACCACGTATGTACGGCATTTTGCCACCCACGCGCTGCATTGGAGGTGATTCCTCACCGCTACCGACATGGAAGGCAGCAGCCACAGCAGAAACACTGTAACAATTGGTGGACCAAATTCTCCCGCCTCCCTCGACTCTCGACCTGTTTTTGCATTCGCGGATTCTAGACCTTCAACCCTAACATCCCAGCACCCCTGACACTACAAAACCCCTGACACTCTAAAAGTACTCTAACACCCACCTCAAGCCCTGATTGAACCCTCCGATGTAGAAGACCCTGCTTGCATCCAGGCCTATTGACATGCAAAAGACACTGTTGCCAGCCAAGCCTCCTGCAAGAGACTGAGAAAAACCCTAAACCTCCTATGAAACACCTTAGGCCCTATACTTAAAGCCCCCGATTCAAAACCCCTAAACCCTAAACCCTCTTCAGCACGGACTGAGGTGCCGGCCAACCCTAAACCCTAAAACCCTAAGCCCTAAACCCTAAACCCTAAACCCTTTTGCACAGGCTTGCGTGA